AGCGGTTTCATGATGCTTGTATCTAAACCTAAGTAGATAATTTTAAGATTGTTCTATACATCAGTTGGGATCTCTATAAGCTTCACTATGAGGTCCTAAACCTAGCATGAAAGTGCATCCTTGTAGCTGTGTGGGCTAATATATTCAAAATGTTTGCCTTAGGGTAAGTTGAGCCAATGGCCATGGGTAAGTTGAGCCAATTGAAGTGTTTTCTTCCCAGGCAAAATGCAAGGCATTATCACTGGGATATGAGGTAACAACAGGGCCTGCCCTATGTTAAGTGTTAAAAGAAAGTACAAAGGTATTAAGCCGATCAAAAGTGATTGTATTGAATTGTGTTTGAGAAATAAAGATAGACATGGTTTTAAAGAGGTAGTGGTAATATTTCATTCAGTACAGAAATTTGCCCGCAGCTCAACTTGTGCCAAAATACCACTTTGCTTTAACAAGCTATGTTTTTAAAGCTGTAATGTTTATATGAATTCTGATTATTTCCAGGGATACACAACATCCTGAAATATATGTAGATATCTTTGTTAGAAAGAATACTATATTTCCCTTGACTGAGTGATGCTAAATGTAAAAAATGACTCAACTTACCCCACTCTCCCCTATAGGTAATGAATGTGTTGTGTCAAGTATGACTGTATTCACTAATATATAAAGTGTCTTTGTCATGCAGTTTAGTAATACTAGAGCAGCAGTGTTGACTGTGGGAGTGCATGTGTGTACTTGTGTGTGGCTGTGCTTGTGTGTGTCTGTGCATGTGTTTAAGGGTTGGATGTCTGGAGAGTCAGTGCAAATAGTCTCTAAGGTGCAGATAGTCTCATGGGTGTAATAGTCACAAGGTGTAGGTCTGTGCAGGGAGATGGCTAGGGTTAGCTGTTCAACAGTCTGATGGCCTGGTGGTAGAAGCTGTCTTAGAGCCTGTTATTCTGGGACCTGATGCTCCAATACTGCTTTCTGAACAGTCCGTGGCTCGGGTGATAACCTTCCGGGCCTTCCTCAAGCACCGCCTGGTGTAGATGTCTTGAAGGGCAGGGAGCTCGCCCCCAGTGATGTGTTGGGCCGTCCACACCACCCTCTGTAGAGCCTTGTGGTTGAGAGCAGTGCAGTTGCCATCCCAGGCGGTGATGCAGCCAGTCAAGATGCTCTCGATGGTGCAGCTGTAGCACTTCTTGAGGATCTGAGGGTCCATAACGAATTTCTTCAGTCGCCTGAGGTTGAAGAGGCGCTGTTGTGCCCTCTTCACCACTTTGTCGGTGTGATTGGTCCATGTCAGGTCCTCTGTGATGTGCACGCCTAGGAACTTGAAGCTTTTCACCCTCTCCACTGCAGCCCTGTCAATGTCAATGGGGCGTGCTCCCCCCTTCTTCCTGTAGTCCATGATTAGCTCCTTGGCACCACTTTCAGGGCTCTACCCTCTTTCATGTAGGCTGACTCGTCGCTGTCTGTGATCAGGCCCAACACCATCGTGTAGTCAGAACTTAATGATGGTGTTGGAGTTATGCGTGGCTGTCCCGGAAGGGAGAGTTACAATGGTCTAGTGTCTGCTGGCCCCTCGTAACACAGGAGATGGTTGGTTGAATTTCGGAAGCACATTCCTCAAATGTACAGCCGTAGTCAAAAGTTTTGAGAATGACACAAATACTAATTTTCACAAAGTCTGCTGCCTCAGTTTTGATGATGGCAATTTCCATATACTCCAGAATGTCATGAAGAGTGATCAGATGAATTGCAATTAATTGCAAAGTCCCTCTTTGCAATGAAAATGAACTTAATCCCAAAAATAAATTTCCACTGCATTTCAGCCCAGCCACAAAAGGACCAGCTGCCATCATGTCAGTGATTCTCTCGTTAACACAGGTGAGAGTGTTGACGAGGACAAGGCTGGCAATCACTCTGTCATGCTGATTGAGTTAGAATAACAGACTGGAAGCTTTAAAAGGAGGGTGGTGTTTGAAATCATTGTTCTTCCTCTGTTAACCATGGTTACCTGCAAGGAAACACGTGCCGTCATCATTGCTTTGCACAAAAAGGGCTTCACAGGCAAGGATTTTGCTGCTAGTAAGATTGCACCTTAATCAACCATTTATCGGATCATCAAGAACTTCAAGAAGATGGTTCAATTGTTGTGAAGATGGCGTCAGGGCGCCCGAGAAAGTCCAGCAAGCGCCAGGACCGTCTCCTAAAGTTGATTCAGCTGCGGGATCGGGGCACCACCAGTGCAGAGCTTGCTCAGGAATGGCAGCAGGCAGATGTGAGTGCATCTGCACGCACAGTGAGGCGAATACTTTTGGAGGATGGCCTGGTGTCAAGAAGGGCAGCAAAGAAGCCACTTATGTCCAGGAAAAACATCAGGGACAGACTGATATTCTGCAAAAGGTACAGGTATTGGACTGCTGAGGACTGGGGTAAAGTCATTTTCTCTGATGAATCCCCTTTCCGATTGTTTGGGGCATCCGGAAAACACCTTGTCCGGAGAAGACAAGGTGAGCGCTACCATCAGTCCTGTGTCATGCCAACGGTAAAGCATCCTGAGACCATTCATGTGTGGGGTTGCTTCTCAGCCAAGGGAGTGGGATCACTCACCATTTTGCCTAAGAACACAGCCATGAATAAAGAATGGTACCAACACATCCTCCGAGAGCAACTTCTCCCAACCATCCAAGAACAGTTTAGTGACGACCAATGCCTTTTCCAGCATGATGGACCACCTTGCCATAAGGCAAAAGTGATAACTAAGTGGCTCGGGGAACAAAACATCGACATTTTGGGTCCATGGCCAGGAAACTCCCCAGACCTTAATCCCATTGAGAACTTGTGGTCGATCCTCAAGAGGTGGGTAGACAAACAAAAACCCACAAACTCCAAGCATTGATTATGCAAGAATGGGCTGCCATCAGTCAGGATGTGGCCCAGAAGTTAATTGACAGCATGTCAGGGCGGATTGCAGAGGTCTTGAAAAAGAAAGGTCAACACTGCAAATATTGACTCTTTGCATAAGCTTAATGTAATTGTCAATAAAAGCCTTTGACACTTATAGAATGCTTGTAATTATACTTCAGTATACCATAGTAACATCTGACAAAAGTATCTCATAACACTGAAGCAGCGAACTTTGTGAAGACCAATACTTGTGTCATTCTCAAAACTTTTGACCACGACTGTACTTTGTTAAAGTCCCCAGCCATAACGAATGCAGCTTCAGGATAAGCAGTTTCCAGTTTATATGACAAGTTAGGCTACATGTGAAGGTAATGTGATTATTTTGTGTGCATGTGAAATATGCAAATACAGGGTATTTACATGTATTATTATTAGTGAAATGTCCGACTGACTGTAAACTCATTTCATGCATGTTTAACTTGTGCTTTTGTTTATGCAAATTGTGACGTGTTTAAAGCAGATCTATGACCAAGGCCCTGACAGGTCCCAGTGTCCTTTGCAGTCATTATGCACATACTGTAAGTCCCCCCCCCTTATGTTTAAAAGTACAACCGGGTGAAGGACGTTTGCCAGCTAGCCATTTATGGGGGATTCTACCAGGCCCTTTTCGAACACCTCAGAAATACATCCTTCCTTCCTTGAATCATGGATTGGTAAGTAATAGGGTGGTAACATTGGCTTACACCCATCCAATCGCTTATTGATCTGTGTTTACCTCAAGGAAGGAAGGATGCATTTCTGAAGTATTTGAACAGGAGCCTATAGTTTAATGTCCTCTTATTTCTTTCAGCTTCCTGTTGGTGTTTTCCTGTCTCATCCTCTCTGTTTTCGCTACCATCAACGAGTTCAAGAACAGCTCCGAGACTGCCTTGTACATTCTGGTATGTATGTGATGGTTTGCTCTGAAAGTGCGGTGCTCTTTCCTTGTCTTGCGCGCTCTGTTTATGCTCAAGACGGCAAAGTATGCCGCAATCAAATATGTGAAATATAGATCCTAAAAATAATCCTATTCTCTCAGATTCATATCTTACACATTATAGCCACTCATAGCTTTTAAGTCACTTATCTTTTTTTCTGAATCTTAAGTAGTTCACGACTAAAACTCTAGCCATCTGGTTGTGTTGTGCATGGTGCTGCACTATGATAAGACTTGGGTGTAGTGGAAGTATAATATGTCTGTGATTTGATGTGTCACAGGAAATAGTGAAGGTTGTGGTCATACGCACATCCTAAAAAACATAGGTGCTGGGCAAGGAAGTACTTGAAAAGAACAAAGGTCTGCACACTGAATTTGCTCCCAATTACCACAGGAAGTAGTGACCATCGTGGTGTTTGGAGTTGAGTACATCGTGAGGATATGGGCTGCGGGCTGCTGCTGTCGCTACAGAGGATGGAGGGGAAGGCTGAAATTCGCCCGCAAGCCTTTCTGTGTTATCGGTGAGAATATAAATACTTTCTTCTCCTTCTGCCTCTCACCTGTCAGGATCTGCTTCTGTTCTGGCTTACAACTCTCCTGTTCTTCTCTCTTTCTCCTTGCTCCACACTCTTTCATTTTATCTCTCTCAACCTCTTCCTCAGTCTTTCATGTTCTCATTTCCATAAAAGTAAGCACTATTTACATTATTTTAAAACCAAAAATTGCTTTTATATTTGTAAGGCCAGTCAGTTTCTCTTTAAGTCTCCCATACCTTACGTAAGGAAAGGAGAAGCTAACATTAACATTACCTGGTCTTTTAACTACACCAGTCACTTATCATCGATATAATCATAAATTCTCTGAAGTCATTTTGTTCAATCTACCATTTTATTAAACAGCAACACCTGAATAGTGCCTCATGGGATTGTCATGTGATGTCGGCTTCTCAGTGTTGGAGGATGTCAGTAACCATTGAACACTATCAACGCAATCTCAACAGTGTTTGGTGATGCCTGTGGCCACTGACATTATGTGAATCCCCTTCTTTCCCCAGACATTGTGGCCTTGAGTGTGTGTGTGTGAGCGCATGGAACACCATTGACATGATGTGAATATCCTTCCTCCTCTAGACATCATGGTCTTGATAGCGTCTGTGTCGGTGCTGGCTGCTGGCTCCCAAGGGAACGTCTTCGCCACCTCTGCCATCCGCAGTCTTCGTTTCCTGCAGATCCTCCGCATGCTACGGATGGACCGGCGCGGGGGCACCTGGAAACTTCTAGGATCAGTGGTCTATGCCCACAGCAAGGTGACCGCTAGAAAGGCTATTGGTTTAGCTGGGGTTTAGTTAGCCTCAGGAGCCCAGGCTTCTCACCTTCTGTGAGATGAGATTTGGAAGGATGGCTCCGCAAAAACAAATCGAAAGCCTACGTAAAAGACATCGGGTAGAAGTAAATTAATCCACAAATTTGAATAAACTGCGTTTTCATGAATTTGATTACATAGTCCAGTCATAAACAGAAAAAGTGGATTTGGTGGGTACAGATATTATTGTGCATTATGTAGCCTTTATAAAGGCTTTATGAATGTATACATACCATGAAGTGTTACCAAATTCTATATCTGATGCTCTGTTCCTCTTTTCTCCAGGAACTTATCACTGCTTGGTACATAGGCTTTCTCTGTCTCATCCTGGCTAGTTTCCTTGTGTACTCGGTCGAGAAAGATGAAAACGACATGTTTGAGACCTATGCTGATGCCCTGTGGTGGGGGCTGGTAAGTTCAATAATATTTCCAAATTAGAAAGTGCACAAGGTATTCAATGTTATCTTCTATTAGGGCAGACTTACAGTTAGTGTTCCGATAATGTCTTTCCCTAATTTATATGCAGTACCCAGCTAAATACATATATATAACTGAGCTATAATATCACTTGAAAAAGTATAATGTATTGGAGTGGAATGGGGTCTTGACTTACCAGCTTTGGTGGACTATTATATAAGGTATGCATTACTGTAGGTGCTGTTGAAAATGCCTCTTCTTTCTCTAGATCACCCTGACTACCATAGGCTATGGGGATAAGTTCCCAAAGACCTGGAATGGACGTCTGCTGGCTTCAATGTTCAGTATGATAGGAGTGGCTTTCTTTGCGCTCCCAGCTGTAAGTTTGAGAGACATTTTAGGTGATAATTCAAACCCTTATGGTGCAGAAGGCAACTTAATCTAACTTTATTATGTGTCTGAATTTGAAAGAAACGTAAAACCTTTATTCACAGTTCCAGCCTTATAGCCAAGTGCATGAACTCCAATGGTTATATTCCAGAACATTTTGCAATGTTCTGTGTCAATAGTACACTTTAGAGTTGTTGTGCTCTTCAGTGGTGCACTTCAGCTTAGGCAAAACATGGCCTGGTACACACTTGAACTTAAAACATTCGGATAACCATTATTATTATTTTTTAATCTGGTAGTCCTACATTCTAGTTTCAGATGTTCATATTCAAGAGGGTAGAGATATTTTCACAATGTGTTCTCTTTTTCTCGTACACACAGGGTATCCTGGGGTCTGGTTTTGCCCTGAAGGTCCAGGAGCAGCACAGACAGAAGCATTTTGAGAAGCGACGCCAACCTGCTGCTGGTCTAATACAGGTAGCCACACGCACCACCATTGGCCTGGACACACCCACTGACACATTGTGTGACCTTTGACCTATTCTTTTTTTACCTGGTTCTTTCTGACTGATTTTATTGAATTATATATCACTTGTTGGGTCATTGAACATCCTCTGCATCATGACGTTGTCTGCATCACTAGCAAATAACACCATCTGTCTCACAAACAGAATGCTTGGCGATTTTATGCTACGAATCTCGCTCGGACTGATCTGCTGTCGACGTGGGATTTTTATGAGGAGAATGTTTCTCTCCCGATGTACAGGTACAGACCATATCTGTTCTCTATACTTTATATAACTTTATTCTGGAAATTAAATTCCATTAAATTCACATGTTCTATTTATCCCTTTAAAACTGGCTAGAGTTTTTGTTATTACCCTTGAAATAACACCAACCAGTCTGGCTTTCCAATTTGAAGTTTAACTCTAATACCTTTCATTTTGAGATACTGCTGGGCTTTGTCTTGATATTCAAAGCACAACTAGTACAGTGCCTTCAGAGAGTATTCACACCCCTTGACCTTTTCCACATTTTGATGTGTTACAGCCTGAATTTTAAATTGATTAAATTGAGATTTTGGGTCACTGGCCTACACACAATACCCCTTAATGTCGAAGTAGAATTCTGTTTTTAGACATTTTTATAAATGAATTAAAAATGAAAAGCTGAAATGTATTGAGTCAGTAAGTATTCAACCCCTTTGTTATGGCAAGCCTAAATAAGTTCAGGAGTAAAAATAAATCAATCAAATGTATTTATAAAGCACTTTTTACATCAGCAGATGTCACAAAGTGCTATACAGGAACCCAGCCTAAAACCCCAAACAGCAAGCAATGCAGATGTAGAAGCACGATGGTTAGGAAAAACTCCCTAGAAAGGCAGAAACCTAGGAAGAAACCAAGAGAGGAACAAGGCTCTGAGGGGTGGCCAGTCCCCTTCTGGCTGTGCCAGGTGGAGATTATAACAGTACATGGCCATTAAGGCCAGATTTATCTCCAATATGTTGAAACGTTCATAGATGACCAGCAGGGTCAAATAATAATCACAGTGGTTGTAGAGGTTGCAACAGGTCAGTACATCAGGAGTAAATGTCACTTGGCTTTTCATAGCCCGGCATTTAGAGGTTGAAATAGCAGGTGGGGTAGAGAGAGAGAGTTGAAAACAGCAGGTCTAGGACAAGGTAGCACGTCCAGTGAACAGGATGTGCTACCTTGTCCCAGACATGTGCTTAACAAGTCACGTAATAAGTTGCATGGACTCATTCTGTGTGCAATAATACTGTTTATAGAAAAGTTTGTGGTCATGCGCACATCCTTACAATCATAGGTGCTGGGCTAATAAAGAATACTAGTAAAGAACAAGAAGGCCCGCACACGGTTAAAGCTCCCAATTCACCTCTTTATTGACAACGTTCCGATCTGAAACAGATCTTCGTCAGGTCAAGCAAACAAACTGAGTGCTCTCTTCCCAAAATATACACATTTCACCACACGTGACCATTATGCACATGACGCATGGTGGGTGTGGAAACGATTAAATTCACTTTTGTGCACAATCAATCATACATTGAGGGGGAAAAAGTATTTGATCCCCTGCTGATTTTGTACGTTTGCCCACTGACAAAGAAATTATCATTCTATAATTTTAATGGTCGGTTTATTTGAGCTGTGAGAGACAGAATAACAACAAAAAAATCCAGAAAAACCCATGTCAAAAATGTGCAACAAGTCACTAAAGTATTTCTGCAAAATAATTGGCAAAGCAATTAACTTTTTGTCCTGAATACAAAGTGTTATGTTTGGGGAAAATCCAATACAACACATTACTGAGTACCACTCTCCATATTTTCAAGCATAGTGGTGGCTGCATCATGTTATGGGAACGCTTGTAATCATTAAGGACTGGAGAGTTTTTCAGGATAAAAAAGAAACGGAATGGAGCTAAGCACAGGCAAAATCCTAGAGGAAAACCTGGTTCAGTCTGCTTTCCACCAGACACTGGGAGATGAATTCACCTTTCAGCAGGACAATTACCTAAAACACAAGGCCAAATCTACACAGGAGTTGCTTACCAAGAAGACAATGAATGTTCCTGAGTGGCCGTGTTACAGTTTTGACTTAAATCTGCATGAAAATCTATTGCAAGACCTAAAAATGGTTGTCTAGCAATGATCAACGACCAATTTGACAGAGCTTGAAAATTTTTGAAAATAATAATGGGCAAATGTTGCACAATGCAGGTGTGGAAAGCTCTTAGAGACTTATCCAGAAAGACTCACAACTGTAATTGCTGTCAAAGGTGCTTCTACAAAGTATTGACTCGGGTGTGAATACTTATATAAATTAGGTATTTCATTTTCAGAAAATGGCAAAAATTTAACTTTGTCATTATGGGGTATTGTGTGTAGATGGGTCAGACATTTTTTTATTTAATCAATTTTGAATTTAGGCTGTAACACAACAAGATGTGGAATAAGTCAAGGGTATATGAATACTTTCTGAAGGCACTGTAGCTACTTTGAAAATGAATCACTCTGTTTACCTTCTAAGTCTGTCGGAATGATTTAGAAAATAAGCTGCAGACTGCAATATTAGGCTTTCTCAAAGCAGCGTTCTGCGTTTTATCTCATTTTAGAGCTACATACAGTATTCTGTGTAGCAGCGTCTAAGGAAGCGTTCTATTTTGAAACAGTATAATGTTAGGCTTCAATGCTCCAGACTAGAGGGCCACTGAACTTGTTTTTAGAAAGTCCTTTAGAAAGACATGCATTAGCCTTCTAGTGGGATGTATGGTGTATAAAAGATGATGAAAACTGTCTCCACGCTTCTCTCGCCAGACTCATACCCCCCCTCAATCAACTGGACCTCCTGAGGAATCTGAAGGCCAAATCCTTCAGCAGGTCTGAATATACAGTAGGATGAATCTCACCTGAATTCATAGTCTCTTGGTGTCTCAGGGCTGCAGTAACTTAGTGCTAATCACCCGATTAAACCCTGTGCCTTGACAACTCTGTTTCCCTTTTTTGCCCTTTGCCACTTGACAGGTGCTTGCTCACCCAAATGCTAAATCCTGATTATCTTAATGACATATAGCTACCACTGTTGACCTTTTTAGATATTCAGCCTTGTCCTAACCTCTCTGACTTTAGTAACCTAAATAATGCTGCCCATCGGGATTTGTCACGGAAATGAATGTGTGTGTGTGTGTCTCTCTGTGTGTGTCTTTTTCATTTGTCTGGAAACAAAGGAAGGACTCTCAGACAGAAGCCTCCCCCAGGTCTGTTATTCAACCAGCCTTTGTTGTTTTACCAAACACTTCTTCTACCCCCTTTTGGCTTTACTTCAATTCTGCTCAATGCTGCAGAGGCACTCTTCTTGAGGGAGTGTGTGTGTGTGTGTGTGTGTGTGTGTCCCGGAGTAGAAGGGACCAAGGTTTTGATGAGTCTTGTTTTTTTACAATGTGTGTTAGATATGGATGTACCTCTATGATAAGATCCTCCTTCAAGAACAGTGGCCTTACATTTGCCCACAGTGCCCTAGCTCAAGGGTTCCCAAACTTTTTTATTCAGGCCCCCCATCTATTTCTATGGGCACAAGCACTGTTCATGAAACAAACTGTTCACACACCTCTTGTTGGCAGAGAGAAAAATGTGCAGGTTTAAAGCTTATTTCCTGCAATTCTACACATTTTGCCATGGGGTGCAGAGAAAATGTTGCCTTTTTAAAGCTCATTTTCTTGCAATGTCTAATGTGTATTCATGTGATATTTGATTGACTCAACCATTACAACAAAATCTATGGGCTAAAAAAACTAGCTAAAAAAGTTAGCTGACATGGGCTAGTTGATCTGGACATTTCTGACAAGTTATAAATACAGTAGCTCTCTAAGGTATCCAGTGACTGACCTGAGAAGAGGAAAACTGATGATGCACTACCCAATTTCGAAATTGCACCTTGTGCATTCTACTATTACTACCTTCAAGAGTAATTTGAAAGCCGGACTGAGTTCCTTAAATAAATATTTTAAAAAAAAATATATATATATATATGACCCCTGCGCCACCCACAGTTTGGGAACCACTCCCCTAGCTAAGCTCACTTTGCCCTCACTGCCAACATGAAGCTGTTATCCACAAATCTAGGTCCAGTTCCCAAGATCACCTTTTGAAATGTGTTAATTACCCCACTGGCATAGGGAACACTCTAGAGCAGTGATATATATGAATTTCATAATGGGTCACTGTAAGGCCATGTCTTTGCGATTTGTGCAACGATTACATTTAACAGCCAATACTGTAGACTGTACATATTTCTGCCTACTTTGCACTTGCTTTTAGCCTAAATGCCGTAGCTAATTTTAGAATCAGATGTTATGAAACATTTGCATAATGCATAGCAGACTTATGGTTATAAGTGAGCCATTTGTCACAGAAATCCTAACTTCTTGATGGTTTGAACCAGGGGTTGGAACCAAAACTATTTTAAAATTCTGAACAGAACCACCATTTTCTTTGTTACGTTCCAACTAGCAAAATAAAGTTCTGAACCGGTTCAAACCCCCAAAAAGTACCAGTTTATATCGTTCCTTTCTGTTCCTTTTTTAAACCTGTGATCAACAGTTTTTTACATTTAGCTCCTTAAATTACTTCACCAATCAGTGCGGATAGAGCAGGCAAGCTAGTTGTTTACAGCGTGATGGACAGACAAGTGTATCCTGTGGTGCAAGATGCGGCTGATATTTTGCGGGTCGGGAGAGAGCGAGAAAGGGTTGAGGAGGAGGCTTGAAGGGCTGGGCATCTTGTGATGACATGCATTATCTGAATTAGGTCCACAGAATTATACCTAGGAGGAGTGGCTTCTATGGAGGAACTTTGAATGCGCTAGCTAGCTAACAAGCTTGCGTGTGCAAAGCGGCACCAGAATTAGAAACACGTCTTACCTTTTTGTAGTTAATAAATCCAACGTAAAATGTGATAACTAGGCCTATAGTATCCTTAACTAGCATTTTGAAAAGTTAATTCATTATTTTCTAGCTAATTAAAAATCTCTCTCCTATCTTCTGAATCATGATTGTAACGTCAGTACAGTAGCCTATGCTTCGGAGGGGGAGGGGCAGGTAGCCTAAACGCGCGCACACACACTGGCAACGATGTTCAGTATGTTTCTGAGTGACAGAGTGAGGGCATTGCATAGCCGCTTTGATGCGTTTTTTTGTGGGACCCCCAAAAAATGCTTGGAATAACAGTTCTTTTCCAGAACGGTATGGATCACTTTCGTTCCAGATTCTGTTTCTGTTCTTGAAAAATGTATTTATTTTCCTGTTGGGAAGAAGTAGTGGGTGTAAAATCAACGTGAGCCAATGTGCAACCTAAACATGTGTAAACATAATTGGAAAGGAAAAGGCGCAACGCTCGCTCATCATTAAACATTCTTAGTTTTATTAAGTATGTTTATTTTCCTGTTTTAAGTTCTGTTCCCTGAACCGGTTCCATCCCCTGGTCACATCGTCACATCATTCAAATTATATTATAATTTTATTCATTATTGTCTGATTAATGAAAGTACTTCGAATATGTTTTTATGACATCTTCTACCATTCCTCATTCTTGCATCATATCATCCTTTTACTGACCATTACAAGGACATTGTAGGACATGTCCTTGTAAGACATTACAAGGCAAGCCACTTCATTTTTCAGATGCACTTAATTCCTCCATCACTTATCTTTTTTGTCTTCTCTACTGCCCACCATTCCACTATCTCTCTCTCCAATGTCCAGTTTTGCCCATTCACACAAAGATGACATGCTTTGTGGGTGCTGCCCGAGAACCTATAGGTACTGTTGCACAGATACTAACATCTGCACTGCAAGTATTTAAGTCTCTATATATCTGTCCTTACTTTCCTATCTGTTCTTATATTTCCCACTTTTGACACATATTCAGCTGAGTAGATGAAGCACATGACTAGCTGACTCTTTTTAATCCCCCTCAGCTATTGAGAATCAGTCAAATGTAACATTTACTTATCCACATAGCATACACAGACATTTACTTTTGCTTTGAAGTAAAAAATCGGAATATTTTCTGCACATTTACCTGAACAGCTTCCTAGAAAACACAGATGTACGTCTTAGTTTTTTGTGACACAGCATTGATTTATTGTTTCTCTTATGCAGTTTTTTCGCTTGTTGGCTTTTTGCTCAGTCAGCCCTTTGACAACTTTTGTTGAAAAGCAAGAAAACAACATGCCTTTTACTTTGGTATCTAACAAGCATTTCCTTTGAAATGATTCCCACGTACAGTACAGTGGAAGACATGATGGTTAACCCTGTCTGCATGACCTGATTTACTATTTGCATAGAGAGATGACAACCCTTCTTTTTCTTTTTGAGGCCTATTACTGTGCTTCCCATGCATGCTTGCTTGTTGCTTCTGCTGCTTGCCTGACCGAATGCTCGACTATGTGCACATGGAAAAGGTTCCTTCCGCTGTAGGACATTGCCTCGTTTTAAGTTACCGTAGAGGTAAGACCTTTAATCGCACAGACATATCTCAACATCACATTACTACTTTATGTATAAGCAGGTATAGATATACAGTAAGTTGCTCCACGTTAACATTCTATATTTATGAGTGAGAATAGCCAAGATGGTCAAGCCTACATCATTACTAAAGTTGACTAAAATGTATTCTTGATTAATAACTGCTTGTTGACACATTGACACTGCCAAGCTATTTTAGTCCGTTTCTCTACCCATATGATACTTGACCTAGACCTAGTGAACACAGCCTAGACAAGGTGTCCAAAGTAACTCTTCGTCCACACAGCCCTATATTGCTCTTATACTGCACAGTATGCACATGAGTCATATCACCATGGGAACTCAAACCCACAGAATTATCCTTACATCTCAGAAAAAGATGCATCATCCATCCATATCGATCTCCCTCTTGTTTGCTCACTCCGTTCTGTATATCCTTCCCCGCTCCCTGTAGCCGGAAGCCTAGCCTAAAGGACAAGGTGTATCCTAGTCCTTCCAAGATGGCTGGGGCCACAGGGAGGTCCCAGTCCCCTGGGCCTGAAGACGGGGCAGAGGGAGGGCCGAGCTGGAGCTTCACTGACCGGGCCCAAGGGGCCATGCATGCTTTCCGTGCCAGGGGCAGCACCTCGCGCCAAAACTCAGAGGGTGAGGGGATTCTAAATCTGCACCACTGGTTATATGACTACTGTTCTGTTTGATTAGCTTATCTTCTTAAGATAATAATAATAACAATATTGTAATCTTTTTATATAGACATTACACAGTTGCAAAGTAGGCTATGCAGTGCAGTACACTGTCAGATATGCAAAAGACAAATAAAACATCACAAGTGCACATGCTCACAATGGTATAACACATTTATTGGATGATTGTCCAAGGAGTTAGGCCTAATTAGCTAGGCAGATACTGTATTTTCAAATATAATGCTAGTCAAGAAGATGGCTAGTCAAATAGCTTATCTTCTTGACTAGTATTACATTCGAAGATATGGTATCTGCCTAGCTAATTAGGCTTAACTCCTAGATCAATCGTCCAATGACTATGTTAAACCATTGTGAGCATGTGAACCTGTGAATTCTATTTGTTAACATTCTGTTTGACAAATGCTAGCATTCTGTTTGACAAGCTACTACCTGCCTACCATTCTGTTTGACTAGCCATGTAACTAAATACATTCTGTAAAACTAGTTGTCTACACCAGGGTTCCCCAAACTCGGTCCTGGGGCCCTCCCCTGGGTGCACGTTTTGGTTTTTGCCCTAGCACTACACAGCTGATTCAAATAACCAACTCGTCATCAAGCTCTGATTATTTGAATCAGCTGAGTAGAGCTAGGGCAAAAACCGAAATGTGGACCGAGTTTGGGAATCCCTGGTCTACATAACTAGAACTCTGTTTGACTAGCCATCTAACTGAATACCATTCTGTAAAACTAGTTGTCTACATGACTAGCATTCTGTTTAACTAGACATCTAATTGAACACCAATTTGTTTATCTTTGTCTACCTGACTAGTATTCTGTTTGACCAGCTGTCTACCTGACAAGCATTCTAGCTACTTGACTAGCATTTTGACTTTGACTATCTGCCTGAGAGGCATACTGTTTTCTATCTACAGTATCGGACTAACAATCTGTTTGACTAGCTACTGTATACCTGGCTAGCATTCTGTTGAACTGCTATTGTATATACCTGTATAGCTTTCGGATTCACTAGCTACCTCCCAAACTAGAAATATGTTTGATTAGCATTCTGTTTGACTATAGTTATCTACTGGACTTACCTTTTTGTTTGTTGTCGTTAGCCCTATGTCCTCAACTTGGAGTTCAGAGGATGTGCAATGATGTTTTACTCTGTGGCCCCATGCCAGCTGTCACTTAGCGTGCCAACTGTAGGCTTTGAGGGATGTGCCAATGGCAATTTCAGCCAGTAGTTTTGAAAGTAGTGCTCATGAACCAAAACAGTTCCCCGAAAACTGCACAATTGTGTACTACGTCATCCGCGAGCTGCCCAGTGATGCGAGCCTACCAGATGAGCTAAATGCCCTTTATGCTTGCTTCGAGGCAAACAACACTGAAGCATGCATGAGAGCGCCAGCAGTTCTGGACGACTATGTGATCACGCTCTCCGAAGCCGATGTGAGCTAGACCTTTAAACAGGTCAACGTTCACAAGGCTGCGGGGCCAGACGGATTACCAGGACGTGTACTCAGAGCATGCGCGGACTAACTGGCAAGTGTCTTCACTGACATTTTCAACCTCTCCCTGACCGAGTCTGTGATACCTACATGTTTCAAGCAGACCACCATAGTCCCTGTGCCCAAGAAAGCGAAGGTAACCTGCCTAAATGACTACCTCCCCGTAGCACTCACATCGGTAGTCATGAAGTGCTTTGAAAGGCTGGTCATGGCTCACATCAACACCATCATCCCGGAAACCCTAGACCCACTCCAATTCCCATCCCGTCTCAACAGATCCACAGATGACGCAATCTCAATCGCACTCCACACTGCCCTTTCCCACCTGGACAAAAGGAACACCTATGTGAGAATGCTGTTCATTGACTACAGCTCAGCGTTCAACACCATAGTGCCCACAATGCTCAGCACTAAGCTAATGACCCTGGGAATGAACACCTCCCCTGTAACTGGATCCTGGATTCCTGACGGGCCACCCCCAGGTGGTAAGGGTAGGCAACAACACATCTGCCATGCTGATCCTCAACACTGAGGCCCCTCAGGGGTGCATGCTTAGTCCCCTCCTGTACTCCCTGTTCACCCACGACTGCTTGGCCAAGCACGACTCCAACACCATCATTAAGTTTGCTGATGACACAACAGTGGTAGGCCTGATCACCGACAACAATGAGACAGCCTATAGGGAGGAGGTCAGAGACCTGGTAGTGTGGTGCCAGGACAACAACCTCTCCCTCAATGTGAGCAAGACAAAGGAGCTGATCATGGACTACAGGAAAAGGAGGGTTGAACAGGCCCCCATTAACATCGACGGGGCTGTAGTGGAGCGGATCGAGAGTTTCAAGTTCCTTGGTGTCCACATCACCAACAAACTATCATGGTCCAAACACACCAAGACAGTCGTGAAGAGGGCACGACAACACATTTTCCCCCTCAGGAGACTGAAAAGATTTGGCATGGGTCCCCAGATCCTCAACAAGTTCTACAGCTGCACCATCGAGAGCATCCTGACCGGTTGCATCACCGCCTGGTATGGCAACTGCTCGGCATCTGACACTAAGGCGCTACAGAGGGTAGTGCATACGGCCCAGTACATCGCTGGGGTCAAGCTTCCTGCCATCCAGGAGCTATATACGAGGCAGTGTCAGAGGAAGGCCCAAAAAATTGTCAAAGACTCCAGTTACCCAAGTCATAGACTGTTCTCTCCGCTACCGCACGGCAAGTGGTACCGGAGCGCCAAGTCTAGGTCAAAAAGGCTTGTTAACAGCTTCTACCCCCAAGCCATAAGACTGCTGAACAATTAATCAAATGGCCACCCAGACTATTTACACTGTACCCCCGCACATTGACTCGGTACCGGTACCCCCTGTATATAGCCTTGATATTTTATTGTTTACTGTAGTTTATTTAGTAAATATTTTCTTAACTCTATTTCTTGAACTGCATTGTTGGTTAAGGGCTTGTAAGTAAGCATTTCACGGTAAGGTCTACACCTGTTGTATTCGCCGCATGTGACAAATAAAATTTGATTTGATTACGTCCTGCATGTATGATATGTTACTTGTTGCAATTCGTATGATAGTTTACGAATTACAATTTGTACAATATGTTGCGAATTTGTAAGTGCTTAAGATCCCGGACTGCATCTTTAATTATGTTCCATTGTCTGGACTAATGTTGCAGTCAGACAATGTAGATGGGATGCAGAGTAAGGTTGCAGACAAAGCATCTTCACAGTATGTACAATCTTATGAGACAGACAAAGGAGATAAATCTCATGTCAATTTGCAGAAAACACAGATGTATTCACCTCTAGCTGCTTTTCAACTGTAACCCCAGTGTTACACAACTAGTGTGTACACCCTGATGTTATACTAGGGAAATTATGTTTCCATAGCTAGGGCTCACAGTGAGGACTTGTGAAGAACAGAATCAACAACCACTGCATAATCAAAACAGTTGCTTTGTAAGGTGTTGACGGTCGAAGGTGTAAACCCATGCTCACAGTAAAGCATAGCAGTCGAAACAGTTCTCGCATATGTTATGAAGTGATTGTTGTCATTCAACGAGAGACGACTTGTTTACATGCCAAACATTTCACATGAGAAATACTGCACCAAACATCTTAAACCTTATTCGAACGGGATTAGTTTTACTGGGGGTGGTCGGGTAATGTAATTATGTGAACGAGCACAAAACACCACATCTGTCATTTTAGTCCCTTCCGAATCGGCAATGTTAAGTCATTTTTACATGGCAGGAGAGTAACAATTCCATCCAGAATAACCTACAGTTTTGTGCCAAACTCCAATGCCCTCTGATAATACTAGTACCGTGCGAATCGGCATCCCTGTATTTTGAGAGAAATGTCTGAGTTTGACAGGTGTTGCTCACGGTTTGAGCAAGACAACAATACGTGATTCGATAAATTGAAGGAAGTGCTCGCATATCCTATATATGAAGGGCCTACATGTATGAACTTTTACAGTGAATGCTTTTATTTATATGTTTTGTGTGTATGAATTGAATATTGCCAAATGCATCAGTAAAACATATTGCGCCTATTTAATGTAACCCTTGCTGTTAATAGATGGCAAAGCAGAATACAACTGACCTAAACTTTTGAAAATGAAAAGTTCACTTTTTCATCCATAGCCTTAAAACGCATCTCAAGTGCACTGTTTAGCTCATCTGAAGGATGGGGGGCATTTAGGACGTCTACTACGGATCGCTAAAAAATCCAAATGATTATGATCACACTTCATCAATTAAAATATTATGGCGACACTATACCAAAGATGGTTTGGTATGGTTTCGAAACTTGGGAACCAAGCTCGAGTTATCAGTGTAGCCCTGTTATCGCCTGGACTTGTTGAAATATCTTCACGCCTAGAAAAGAACCTCCAGGCTTTCGTCATAACTGTCAATTTATTGAAAATAAAAATAATGACAGGGAACCATCCTCCGAACAACGGACATTCTGGGGTAATAATTACATAATCAACGTTCTCTAGTAATACTAGTCCCGTGCGAATAGTGCTTTAGTTATGTAAAATTATGTGACTAAAAACCTCCTCGGCAAAAACGTCACAATTAATTACAGATGTCTTGATTTATTTTAGATACACTACATAGCAAAAAGTATGTGGATACCTGTTGGTCAAACATTTCATTCCAAAATTATGGGCATTAATATGGAGTTGGTCCCCTCCACACTTCTGGGAACCCTTTCCACTAGATGTTGGAACATTGCTACAGGGATTTCTTCCATTTCTGCCACGAGCATTAGTGCGGTCGGGCACTGATATTGGGCGATTAGGCCTGGCTCGCAGTTGGCGTTCCAATTAATCCCGAAGGTGTTCAATGGGGTGGAGGTCAGGGCTCTGTGCAGGCCTGTCAAGTTCTTCCACATCGATCTCGACAAACCATTTCTGTATGGACCTCGCTTTGTGTACAGGGGCATTGTTATGCTGAAACAAGAAAGGGCCTTCCCCAAACTGTTGCCATAAAGTTGGAAGCACAGAATCGTCTAGAATGTCATTATATGCATTAAGATTTCCCTTCACCGAACAATGAAAAACAGCCCCAGACCATTATTCCTCCTCCACCAAACTTTACAGTTGGCACTATGCATTGGGGCAGGTAGAGTTCTCCTGAAAGCCACCAAACCCAGATTAGTCAGTCGGACTACCACATGGTGAAGCGTGAGTCATCACTCCAGAGAACGCATTTCCACTGCTCCAGAGTCCAATGGCAGCGAGCTTTACACCACTCCAGCTGACGCTTGGCATTGTGCATGGTGATCTTAGGCTTGTGTGCGGCTGCTCGGCCATGGAAACCCATTTCATGAAGCTCCCGATGAACAGTTGTTTTGTTGATGTTGCTTCCAGTGGCAGTTTGGAACTCGGTAGTGAGTGTTGCAACCGAGGATAGAGGATTTTTACGAGCTACGCGCTTCAGCACTCGGCCATCTCGTTCTGTGAGCTTGTGTGGCCTACCACTTCGCGGCTGAGCCATTGTTGCTCCTAGATGTTTCCACTTCACAATAACAGCACTTACAGTTGACCGGGGCATAGCAGGGCAGAAATTTGAAATTTGATGAACTGACTTGTTGGAAAGGTGGCATCCTATGACGGTGCCACATTGAAAGTCACTGAGCTCTTCAGTAAGGCCATTCTACTGCCAGTGTTTGTCTATGGAGATTGCATGGCTGTGTGCTTGATTTTATACACCTGTCAGCAATGGGTGAACTAGACGAATCCACTAATTTGAAGGGGTGTCCATAATTTGAAAAAGTCAAGTGGTCGGAAAATATTCAGACCCCTTGACCTTTTCCACATTTTGTTATGTTACAGCCATATTCTAAAATTGATTAAATAAGTACAAATCCTCCGCAATCTACATACAATACCCCATAATGACAAAGTGAAAACAGGTTTTTAGAAATGTTAGCCAATTTATTACAAATAAAAAAACAGAAATACCTTATTTACATAAGTATTTGCTATAAGACTAGAAATTGAGCTCAGGTGCATCCTGTTTCCATTGATCATCCTTGAGATGTTTCTACAACTTTATTGGACTCCACCTGTGGTCAATTCAATTGATTGGCCATGATTTGGAACGGCACACACCTGTCTATATAAGGTCCCACAGTTGAAGGTCTCACAGTGCATGTCAGAGCAAAAACCAAACCATGAGGTCAAAGGAATTGTCCGTAGAGCTCCGAGACAGGATTGTGTCAAGGGGAAGGGTACCAAAATATTTCTGCATCATTGAAGGTCCCCAAGAACACAGTGGCCTCCATCATTCTTAAATGGAAGATGTTTGGAACCACCAAGACTCTTCCTAGAGCTAACCGCACGGCCAATTCTGAGCAATTGGGGATAAGGGCCTTGGTCAAGGAGGTGACCAAGGACCTGATGATCACTCTGACAGAGCTCCAGAGTTACTCTGTGGAGATGAGAGAACCTTCCATAAGGACAACCATCTCTGCAGCACTCCACCAATCAGGCCTTTATGGTAGAGTGGCCAGACGGAAGCCACTCCTCAGTAAAAGGCACATGACAGCCCGCTTGGAGTTTGCCAAAAGGCACCTAAAGACTCTCAGACCATGAGAAACAAGATTCTCTGTTCTGATGAAACCAAGATTTAACTATTTGGCCTGAATGCCAAGCGTCACGTCTGGAGGAAACCTGGCACCATCCCTATGGTGAAGCATGGTGGTGGCAGCATCATGCTGTGGGGAAGTTTTTCAGCGGCAGGGACTGGGAGACTAGTCAGGATCGAGGGAAAGATGAACAGAGCAAAATACAGAGAGATCCTTGATGAAAACCTGCTCCAGAGTGCTCAGCACCTCAGACTGGGGCGAAGGTTCACCTTCCAACAGGACAATGACCCTAAGCACACAGCCAAGACAACGCAGGAGTGGCTTCAGGACAAGCCTCTGAATGTCCTTGAGTGGCCCAGCCAGAGCCCGGACTTGAACCCGATTGAACATCTCTTGAGAGACCTGAAAATAGCTGTGCAGCAACGCTCCCCATCCAACCTGACAGAGCTTGAGAGGATCTGCAGAGAAGAATGGGAGAAACTCCCCAAATACAGGTGTGCCAAGCTTGTAGCGTCATACCCAAGAAGACTCGATGCTGTAATCCCTGCCAAAGGTGCTTCAACAAAGTACTGAGTAAAGGGTCTGAATAATTATGTAAATGTGATATAAAAAATATAAAAAATGTGATTTTTTTGGTTGTTTTTTAGCAACAATTTCTGAACCTGTTTTTGCTTTGTCATTGTGGGGATTGTGTGTAGATTGATGAGGAAAAAGAACAAAGTAATCAATTTTAGAATAAGGCTGTAACGTAACAAAATGTGGAAAAAGTCAAGGGGTCTGAATACTTTCCGAAGGCACTGTATATACAGTTGAAGTCGGAAGTTTACATATACCTTAGCCAAATACATTTAAACTCAGTTTTTCACAATTCCTGACATTTAATCCTAGTAAACATTCCAAATGCCTGAAGGTATCACGTTCATCTGTACAAACAATAGTATGCAAGTATAAACACCATGGGACCACACAGCCGTCATACCGCTCAGGAAGGAGACGCATTCTGTCTCCTAGAGATGAACGTACTTTGGTGCGGAAAGTGCAAATCAATCCCAGAACAACAGCAAAGGACCTTGTGAAGATGCTGGAGGAAACCGGTTCAAAAGTATCTATATCCACAGTGAAAAGAGTCCTATATCGACATAACCTGAAAGGCCGCTCAGCAAGGAAGAAGCCACTGCTCCAAAACCGCCATAAAAAAGCCAGACTACGGTTTGCAACTGCACATGAGGACAAAGATCGTACTTTTTGGAGAAATATCCTCTGGTCTGATGAAACAAAAATATAACTGTTTGGCCATAATGACCATCGTTATGTTTGGAGGAAAAAGGGGATAGCTTGCAAGCCGAAGAACACCATCCCAACCGTGAAGCACGGGGGTGACAGCATCATGCTGTGGGGGTGCCTTGCTGCAGGAGGGACTGGTGCACTTCACAAAATAGATGGCATCATGAGGAAGGAAAATTATGTGGATGTATTGAAGCAACATCTCAAGACATCAGTCAGGAAGTTAAAGCTTGGTCGCAAATGGGTCTTCCAAATGGACAATGACCCCAAGCATACTTCCAAAGTTGTGGCAAAATGGCTTAAGGACAACAAAGTCAAGGTATTGGAGTGGCCATCACAAAGCCCTGACCTCAATCCTATAGAAAATGTGTGGGCAGAACTGAAAAAGCGTGTGCGAGCAAGGAGGCCTACAAACCTGACTCAGTTACACCAGCTCTGTCAGGAGGAATGGGCCAAAATTCACCCAACTTATTGTGGGAAGCTTGTGGAAGGCCCAAGTTAAACAATTTAAAGGCAATGCTACCAAATACTAATTGAGTTTATGTAAACTTCTGACTCACTGGGAATGTGATGAAAGAAATAAAAGCTGAAATAAATCATTCTCTCTACTATTATTCTGACATTTCACATTCTTAAAATAAAGTGGTGATCCTAACTGACCTAGGACAGGGAATTTTTACTAGGATTTAATGTCAGGAATTGTGGAAAACTGAGTTTAAATGTATTTGGCTAAGGTGTATGTAAACTTCCGACTTCAACTGTATGTGTGTGTGTGTGTGTGTGTGTGTGTGTGTGTGTGTATATGATATATATATATATATATATATATATATAATATATATATATATATGTTATATATATATGTGTATATATATATCTATGTGTATATATATATATCTATACTTATTGTGTCTATTCTACTACTATCTTTATGTGTATCATCTACTATATATATGTGTATCTATCTTATATGTATTATCTATATTGTGTGTCTCTCTTATCTCTACTACTCTCTTCATCTATCTACTCTCTCATCTATTCTTCTCTATCTCTATCTCTCTCTACTCTATGTGTCTCTTCTCTCTATATTCTATGTGTCTGTTATCATTCTATATTATTATTATATAATGAGCAAGCTGATCCTCATGAGTTGTGTTTGTTCTCCTCTGCGGCATGCACGTTAAAGTGCTGATTGAAATGCAGGATGAAGACTTTGGACTGAAGAGTTCTCCAGGTTAGATACAGCCCTGGCCTTAGTATTACTAGCTAACTAACATTTATGATGAGGACCTATTTCACATTATGTTGTTATTCTTTAATTCTATAGAGAAATACATAATGATGTAGAACATTCTACATCAGTCTCTTAATCAAATGATAAGTTGTAACTCTTGTAACATAACACTTAAATTGCATTGCTTTTTTCACATTATACCTATGCATTGTATGATACTATAGACCTATCATAGATACAATGTAATAGTCATAGTAAAGATTTCAATGGCTTAACATTTGCCATCTTACTATTTTCCTTCATGCACCCATACATGAGAATTTACTGAGGATTCCGTACGTGGGTTCACATGTGTTGTTTTGGCATTGTTTTATAAAATACCTTTCATTTTGTTTATACCATTATTGTATATCTCTCCTCTCCTTTTCTTTGCAGCAATTGAGGGGTTAATAAGTAAGAACGAATTCTATTTTATTGGTTGGCTGTAGGGAAGAAGCAAAAGCACAACGTATGTGTTTATAGACACATTCAGAAATGACAGTACGCCTGGAAACCATGCATGTCCAAATTTGCTGAACTTTGCTAACTTTACTTAAATCCTCTGTCCAAAGGAATTCATGCTATGCTATAGTTGTTATGACTGCTTATGACAACTCATAAGTCAATTATCATTGAGTTAAGTTACCTGTTTGACAGAGGGTTCAAGTTAATTGTTACCAACAAGTATAACCAAGAGGTAACTTGTAAATAATTCTTAAAGTAATGCGTTCAGCTTGTTCCTGATTTAACATGCATGAAGAAACCTTAATTTCCTCTCCTAATTTTTCCCTGAACCCTTTTAACAATGTACAAATATAGACCAACGTACTGTAAGCAGTATGCACTACAGTACAGACCAATACCGAAAGGACTTAAATAGCCTGATTGTTAGCCTTGCTAGCTTGAAATTTCTATTGAGATGACTAGATACACTGCTAGCAAAACAGGCTAACGTCATGCATGGCTGTGGAGTCATTGGTGGTGGACGGAGGGGACCTCATCAGAAAGCATTCTTGACTTTAACTGCCCCTGTCCAGTAGTAGATCCCTCAATTCCTGCATTCAGTCTTTTTGTTGTTGTTTCACAAATAAATACTGTTGAATTCCACCAATGCTATGGTATGCTAACAGTGCTAACATTCCACACTGGCTTGGAACCTCTGAACTGCACTGTTGAAGCTAACGGCTATGCACCAACTTTGCTTGGCTTAATCCGGATACAATAACGGTGTTACAGTATGTATGGGAGCCAGCAGTTGAAGCTTTGACATTGTGGTTGATGTGGTGTCCTTGTCTTTGCTCCATAGAGGCTTGCCTCCCCGGGGAGGACATTGGGGACGATAAGAGCTGTCACTGTGAATTCCTTCAAGATTTATCTCCTGGGTTGAAGGTCACAATCAGGGCGATAATGTAAGAGAGAGGTTTTATATTCACTAAATACCCGAAGAACATAGTGTCTTGTGCAGAAATTATAACTTTACGGTGTCTTCTTCCTTTGGTTTTTAAAGGCGGTTGGCCTGTTTATGAGCTTATGAACATGCACGCCGTATGATTGGATTATAATACATTTGATAGAAAATCTGATTCTATTCTTCTGAATGATTACCGTACCAAAGTGTGTCAACAGCTGCTTTTGTTTTGAAAAATACATGCTTCTGTTAAATTTTTTCCTAAATGTCTGCTTCAGCATCATGAGGTTTCTGGTGTCAAAGAGGAGGTTTAAGGAGAGCCTACGGCCATACGACGTGATGGATGTGATCGAGCAGTACTCCGCAGGCCACTTGGACATGCTGAGTCGGATTAAGCAACTACAGTCCAGGCAAGACCCCCCATTATTCCCTTCACCGATCCAGTCACACACCCTTTCCCAGCATAGCTCGCATTTAATGTACCTCAAAACAGACTTGTGTTCAAATAGTAATTGTTTTGTTCTTAATGCCTTAGCTGTGCTTGATTGAGCATGCCTGGCACAATAGGATCAATGGAATAGTCCCAAATGTACAAACCCACCCATCTGGCACTGAAGGCTTGCTCAATAAACACTCTAAGTATTAGAAAGTAAACTAAAATACTATTTAGGGGGGAATAGAAGAAAATAAATATATACTATTTGAACCCAAGTCTGTCTCAAACATCCACAGACCCACCAGGTTTTCATCAGTAGACACACATTGACAGCTGTCACTCTTCACCAGGGCAATTCAATTACCAGCCCTGGAGTGCCAAAGTTCTGCCGGGAGTATTTCTAGCCTGGTAGTTAATTGATGAATAATTCTCATTGATTGGCCTGAGACATTACTTACCTCGTGTCCCAGGTCTGAATTAGTCCTTGATTAGAAGGAAAAAAAGGGAAGGCTGCGCGACCAAAGGAAACCGCCCCGTTCCGCCCCCCTGGATGCCTCTTACCCAGAGCTAAAGAACCTAATCATGTTTCTTTACCTCTACTTTATGTACAAATGTGTGTGCTCACCCTCCCCTCACTTTATAGTTCTCACTTTACTCACAGTCAATCGTGAAGGATAATTCTTCACGTTTTACCAGTGAAATGGCTATGCAGCATCTGCATGACAACCATTTGATCTCAATCAATTTCATGGGAATATGCATTTAGGTATTGTTCTTGAATTATATAGGCCTAGGCTACAGTGTTGTTTCGAAGTCCAGTGTGGTTTTGCATTATAATAATAATATGCCATTTAGCAGACGCTTTTATCCAAAGCGACTTACAGTCATGTGCGCATAATTTTTTTATAAACGTATGGGTGGTCCCGGGGATCGAACCCACTACCCTGGCGTTACAAGCGCCATGCTCTACCAATTGAGCTACAGAGGACCATTATGTACAGTGAACGAATTTCATAGCAGATGGTGTTAACAAACTGTAGCCTACCTGTGTTCAATCAAAGCACATACTGTATTTTGCCTAGTGGCGCGTGCTGCGCAAAAATCTGACCATTCGCACAATCATCCTAAAATCTCCTAAGAAATTAGGTGGTGTTTTTCGTCTTACAGTAACATTATGCTATATTACAGTGGAGAAAAATAGTATTTAGTCAGCCACCAATTGTGCAAGTTCTCCCACTTAAAAAGATGAGAGAGGCCTGTAATTTTCATCATAGGTACACGTCAACTATGACAGACAAATTGAGATTTTTTTTCTCCAGAAAATCACATTGTAGGATTTTTAATGAATTTATTTGCAAATTATGGTGGAAAATAAGTATTTGGTCACCTACAAACAAGCAAGATTTCTGGCTCTCACAGACCTGTAACTTCTTCTTTAAGAGGCTCCTCTGTCCTCCACTCGTTACCTGTATTAATGGCACCTGTTTGAACTTGTTATCAGTATAAAAGACACCTGTCCACAACCTCAAACAGTCACACTCCAAACTCCACTATGGCCAAGACCAAAGAGCTGTCAAAGGACACCAGAAACAAAATTGTAGACCTGCGCCAGGCTGGGAAGACTGAATCTGCAATAGGTAAGCAGCTTGGTTTGAAGAAATCAACTGTGGGAGCAATTATTAGGAAATGGAAGACATACAAGACCACTGATAATCTCCCTCGATCTGGGGCTCCACGCAAGATCTCACCCCGTGGGGTCAAAATGATCACAAGAACAGTGAGCAAAAATCCCAGAACCACACGGGGGGACCTAGTGAATGACCTGCAGAGAGCTGGGACCAAAGTAACATAGCCTACCATCAGTAACACACTATGCCGCCAGGGACTCAAATCCTGCAGTGCCAGACGTGTCCCCCTGCTTAAGCCAGTACATGTCCAGGCCCGTCTGAAGTTTGCTAGAGTGCATTTGGATGATCCAGAAGAGGATTGGGAGAATGTCAGATGAAACCAAAATATAACTTTTTGGTAAAAACTCAACTCGTCGTGTTTGGAGGACAAAGAATGCTGAGTTGCATCCAAAGAACACCATACCTACTGTGAAGCATGGGGGTGGAAACATCATGCTTTCGGGCTGTTTTTCTGCAAAGGGACCAGGACGACTGATTCGTGTAAAGGAAAGAATGAATGGGGCCATGTATCATGAGATTTTGAGTGAAAACCTCCTTCCATCAGCAAGGGCATTGAAGATGAAACGTGGCTGGGTCTTTCAGCATGACAATGATCCCAAACACACCGCCCGGGCAACGAAGGAGTGGTTTCGTAAGAAGCATTTCAAGGTCCTGGAGTGGCCTAGCCAGTCTCCAGATCTCAACCCCATAGAAAATCTTTGGAGGGAGTTGAAAGTCTGTGTTGCCCAGCGACAGCCCCAAAACATCACTGCTCTAGAGGAGATCTGCATGGAGGAATGGGCCAAAATAATATAATAATAATATAATAATATGCCATTTAGCAGACGCTTTTATCCAAAGCGACTTACAGTCATGCATGCATACATTTTATGTGTATGGGTGGTCCCGGGGATCGAACCCACTACCTTGGCGTTACAAGCGCCGTGCTCTACCAGCTGAGCTACAGAGGACCTCTACCAGCAACAGTGTGTGAAAACCTTGTGAAGACTTACAGAAAACGTTTGACCTGTGTCATTGCCAACAAAGGGTATATAACAAAGTATTGAGAAACTTTTGTTATTGACCAAATACTTATTTTCCACCATAATATGCAAAAAATTCATTAAAAATCCTACAATGTGATTTTCTGGATTTTTTTTTTTCTCATTTTGTCTGTCATAGTTGACGTGTACCTATGATGAAAATTACAGGCCTCTCTCATCTTTTTAAGTGGGAGAACTTGCACAATTGGTGGCTGACTAAATACTTTTTTTCCCCACTGTATATTCAGTTGTGTTATGTAGAATACTAATGAATAATTGATTCAGCTTTGATCTAACTTAATTGAACAAGCACCATTCTCAATTCATCATTGAAATTCGGCAGAGTATCCTGTTCTCTGGGCAGCCGAACGAATCCCGCACATGCGCAGAAGCTTCAGTTGTTTATCTATTGGAAAAAGAGGCGTCCAGAAAATTTGGCAATGCAGCCACTCCGAAAAGGGAAACCAGAAATGTTTTGCCCCTCTTCGACCGTAATTGAATAGCCCTGCATAAATGTCCAGGCTTATTCAGTCTGGTGGAGTATTGCAGATAGAAATGTAGAGCATAGATTTGACATTGTCTTGTCACTGGATACGTTGTTGTGTCACTGGACACATGCATGTTGTGATAACCACTGAACTCAAATCCACTCCTATGTGCTATGCCTTCCTCTGGTACATATCCCAATGACAGACACATTTAAGTGATGTTTCATAGCTTGGAACAACTTAAATACTGTTCAAGTGAATTAACAAGTCAAGGGAAATGTCGAGTTCACATATTTCTCTCCCTCAAATAAGTACCACATTTTTTTTTGATTAGATGATAGATGTCCAACACATATGTAAATATATTCCAACAATGAAACTGTAGGCCTATGTGTACATTTCGGTTAAAACAACCAATAGGGGCTATTTTCCTGAATATTTCATAGCTAATGTGGTTCTTTATTTCTCTCAACAACCCAGTCACACAGCTGTGAGAAAGTAACACATGTTAGATCTATGTTTGACATAAATAAAGAACCATGGTAGCTACAAAGCTTTTGAGAAGCTCACCTCTGATTCACTGTGTGAACTACATGTATGGAATATATTCTGACTTATTTGTCCATATATTTGATATGGTCAGATTCCCATGTGTTGCTTCATTTTGCATTGCGCTCACATCTTCTCTATGTGCCTTGCCAGGGTAGATATGATTGTGGGGCCTCCTGGCCCATCTACTCCTCGCCATAAGAAGTCTACAGAAGGTCCTAGGTTAAGTCACTAGACTGCACTTTTCCTATACGTAAATTACTGTAGAACGTAAGGAAATTCTTATGTCATGTTGACATAAAGGCTGCATAATGCGCATTAGCCACAAGAATGATAAAATGCCTATCCTAATTTGTAACGATGACAGATAATGACAACTGACTCACACAATTGTGTCATAATTGTGTAGTGGGTTATCATGACCTGTTATAACAGGTATTAGGTCACTCTGCTACATAGAACGGTTATACGTCTTTACGTCAATTGGGGCTCTAGTAAAGTGCTATCCATTTTGATAAAAAAGAACCCTTTTGTAACTCAGGCTACATGACGGCTCATTGTATCACTCAAACTAAAGCCTGATAGACCGAACCATGTCTTTAGACAGTAGACTTCTGAGTGAATTTACATACAGTATGTCAAGTAACACTAAAAAACAGAAGCAGTAGATTGAGAAATCCCTCACGCTATTCTTTCATAATGTTTGTGGATATTTTTGTGGAGGAAATGTGGGCCATAGTTTATAGTGAGAGTGGTAACACTTAAAGCATTCAGGCAAAATGCATTGTAAGACTTGACATGAGCAAATATGACCCTACCCTTTATAATCTCTTATACTGTAATCATCTCATAATGATACAGACTAAATAAGAGACAGTTTGAGACAGTTTAAGTATGTATCCATAAAGAGACATAACGTATTACAAACCTTGATATAAGACATTATTAAAGGCTTGTACATGCTTAAAACAAGTTATAAAGCATTATACCTGAAGTTTAAAATTGTCACTGAATTGCTCTTTTCATGTCCTTCAATATGTTTATTTCCATTGTAAATCAGTGTCTTATTCTTTCTGAACAAAAGGCCAATAGCACACACGCACAGGCAAAGGGCTGAGTCATGTAGCCTAACACAACAGGGGTTTGACAAGGCTGCTTTTGTATCGGAGAAAGAGGGAGAGCTCCCCTGTTAGGAAGCAGTGGAAATGAAGCATGAAACATAGTGAAGCATGCCACATGATGCATTGTCTCCTCGTTTTCATAGTTGTCGTTTTTTCCAGTCAAGAATTGTTGAGGCCTGGAACTCACCATTTCCAGTATACCAACATTTACATTTTCAGCATCAAAGAACATTATCATTCTTCAGCACCAATTCCATATGCACTCTCTACAGAGACCAACCTCTCACTTCACCTACATGAGTCTAGTTTTGTCTTACCATTCTAATTGTATCTAACCCTTATTCACCTGCATCACTAATCCAGAGGGGGAAATGTAGTTTAAATTGTGAAGTTAGTCTACTCTATAATGTTTCCTTTTGCTAAAAACACAACTCTTTGACTCTCTGGATCAAAGCAATAGCTTTATCCTCGATATTGCTTTCTCTAAATGCCAGAGTGGACCAGATTGTTGGTAAAGGTCCTCCAGATAAAGGTGCCAAAGGTGGAGGTGACGGGGAGAAAGAGGAGGAGGACCCCAGCATGATGGGACGTCTGGTTAAAGTGGAGAAACGGGTAAGCCAGGTGTTCTTCTGACCTTATCTCAGTCTCTCTGTCCTAAACAGTCCACGCTCTTGGTAGAAATGCCCTTAGAGACTAAACACACCGTGTCGACGAATGGTTAGAAGTAGCGGGGTGGCAATGCAACATGTTGAATCGCCACAGTTTGTCAACTACCAGCAGGTGATTCTAACCCACTGTTTTTAGCCGTTCATCTTTGTTGAATTGCCACAGTTTGTCGACAACCAGCAGGTCATTCTAACCTGCTGCTTTTAGGCGTTCATCTTTGTGTTGTGTAATCTGATCTAGGATCAGATTACCCTCCCCAAAGCAGGTGATTCTAACCCATTGCTTTTAGCCGTTCATCTCTGTGGTTTGTAATCTGATTACCCTCCCCAAATTCTAACCATAACCGTTTGGGTGTGAAAAGCCCAACTGACCTAAGATCAGTGTCTATGGGCATCGTCGTGCTACACAACAGTATGCAGAGGTTCCATGGGACTCTCCCTCTTCCTGCAGGTGGGCTCCATGGACAGAAAGCTGGATTTCCTGGTCAACGTGTATGTGCAGCGCATGGGCATCCCGCGCTCCGAGACAGAGGCCTATTTCAACTCCAAGGAGGCCTACCCGGCGCCCCCTTATGTTAGCCCCGAGGATAGCAAGAAGGAGAAGGAGAAGCAGGAGCAGGAAAAGAAGGTGAAAGAAGAGAAGGAAGAGAAGAGCTGCTCCGCCGCCGAGGTCCTCCGCTCCATGGGCTCCGTGGAGAAGAAGAAGTGCTCCCCAGAGCCCAGGTCTTTGGGCACGCCCTCCGGCAGCCGCAGCCGCCCCTGCACCTCCTGGGAGCACCAGCTGCAGCACCCCCTCAGCCAGCCCGCCTGGAACAGCAGTGTGGCCAACACCCCCTCACCTGTAGGGGGGGGCAGCGGAGAACCCTCCCCCTCCCTGTTCCTCCTGCCACCCCCTCCCCCGCCCATCCACGAGCGCTCCTCCTGGGCAGGAGGGGGCAGTAGCCGGGAAGGCTCTTCCCAGGGCAGGAAGCGCAACAGGAGGCAGAGGCGTCAGCCAGACGTGGCCCCGCTGCCCGCCGCTGAGAGTGACACGTCCCTGTCCATCCCATCAGTGGACCATGAGGAGCTGGAGCGCTCCTTCAGTGGGTTCAGCATCTCCCAGGCCAAGGAGGACTTTTTTGGGGCATCGTTCTTCAATGGGGCGGCAGGGGCGGTGGCAGAAACGGGAGCAGGGGCATCGCTCTGCGCCAGGGTTAGACCCTTCATTGCGGAGGGTGAATCAGACACAGACTCTGACCTGTACACCCCTGGTGCCCCCTCACCCCTCTCCTTCAGCGGTGAGGGGGCAGGGGGGTATGGAGACAGAGTCTGGCCGCCTCTCAAGTAGGCTAGGATTAGAATTACTGGCCCTTAGAGAATGAGCTGGGATGGATTGAGATATGAGGGAATGATTAAGAAGATTGCAAATGTTAACACTTGTCACTGATACTTTCACAAACAAAAAATGGCCCAATTGAATCTGTCTTGTGTGATTGTATGTGTATGACATTGAGGTATTCAGAGTTGTTTTAGATAGGGTGTGCAATCACCCGAATGCTTGATTTGATGCTTTTCATTTGAACTAAAGCTGATAAGTTAAAAGATGAACATCTCCTGCGCTTTCTGAACACTCAGTGATTTCTCTGGACCAAAAAACGTGGGGAGATATTGGAAGATATGTCAATACAGTAGCCCAACAGTAGGCTATACCTACAAGTCACCTACTGTATGTTTAGGTTATGCTGAAAACGATCACTGCCTTGTGTTGGTTTTATTCCAGTATGACACCATTTTATTAGAATGTAATTGTTGCTAATTTTTTTCCATTATGAATACGGCGCTCAGTTAAATCAGTGGCATCAGTATATTATTTAATAATGACTTTTTGCGGCAAACTCAATATAATTCTACAGGCCCAACTAATGTGTTGATGGGTTGTGTGCTGTGGTTTATGTATGGTAGTCCTTGGTAGAAAACATTATTGGAAACAAATTATAGGAGAATATATGCAGCTGCACAACCCTCCCTAAGCATATGGTCTTAAACAAAGTGCGGACTCCTGGAAATGCATGCCTTAATGAGTTCTGCAAAGTAATATACAATGCACAGTTCTAGACTCACTTTTATTTAACAGCAAGATGACAGAGCAAGATGACAAGATTCACATGACATGATTTCTAAGTTGTTGTATAACTAAGACACAAGCTAGTAGATATGCTTTATACTTTTGAGTTTTTCAGCAATAATATCTTACACTGGTGTCTCTTAAATATGTAAAAAAGTCCATTTTGAGAGAAAATAACTGCACATAAATATGCATAATAAATAAACTGTATGGCATGTACAGCAGAACAATTGCTTTAGATTGAAAATGTATGACTATGGCAAATAGGAACCAAACTAAAACACATTCCTCAACCATTCCACAGATGATCGACAAAGTGGGCAGAACAGGAAAATAAAACCAAGCAACAATGCATGACTGACTTCAACTTAAATATATAAGTAATGGGGCTAAGAATTTGGAACATTTCTATAAATGCAGTCTTGCTTGCAAATGTTTGTCTCTTTTCAGGCAGATTATCAGATTCATTCAAAGAATATGCACACTTTAGTAGTTGCTAGTTATAAGTTCATGGCACTGAATGAGACGGAAGAAAACATGCATTTGAATGTTACCCCAATGCACTAACTCACACATTTTCTATATGTTGTTCTTCAGTTTCATGTTCATAATTCAAATTAAGAAAAGAGAGCAGAACTAGAAATGCAATTTAAAAAAAGGTAAGAATAAGCAGGCAAGCATTGTCAATATGTTTAGTAGCATCAGAGGTCCATCATCAAAGCCTTAATTACTTTCCCCAACTGAGACTTAAATGTTACTGTCAGAACCACCATTTTGCCTTTTTTGTCCATTCCATTACATGAAGCCAAAATACTGCAAAGTCTCAACCACTATACAAGGCACTGTTCACAACTATAGATAAAAGAGCAATGTTATTTGTCCAAATATATGCTTGACGGAATGTTACAACCCAAAGAAATTACCACAGCTTTTACATCTGTAATATCTGTAGTTATGTACCTGCATTGACAAAAATAAACTTTGTACATCACTGGGATTGTGTTGAGGATTCTTCTTTCAGTTCAAGGATGAAGACCAATGACCGTAGCTCGGAATCCACACAGAATATTGCTCAGTTTCATTATTGTTTCACTTCATAATGAAACAATAATAATATTTTTGGATTCCAGGCTTTCACAAGTCATAGAACCAGAATGGTGTAATGATGACCAAATATCACTAGAGGGCAGTCAAGCCTATTTGTATTTTGGCCTTCTCCCTCTCAGTTCACGTTAAAATGTACACTCCATGTGAAGAACATGAATGTTATCTGACTGACAGTCATTTGAAGTGGGTGAAGGGGAAGCTGGTTAGTCTGCTCCATCTGCGTCCCAATAAAAACATTTTTCTCCTGAAGTATGCACTTGTTCATTCCGCCACACAAATGTGAAAGCATTGGATTGGTGTCCAACATGGGCCAGTAGAGTGAGTTTCCACTATCTTTCTTAAAGGTCCCGCACAGTCATCGTATTTCCCAAGTAAAAACAGCCTTTTAGTGACCAAAACATCACCTATAATATTTTTACACAATTAAAAAACTCATAATTGGAGAAATTCTACCTTTTATCTCATCTCCAACTATGAGGAAGCCTGAAAGAACAGGTTGAGTGGGCGTGGCACTTATATTCATGAGCTCGCCTTGACTGACAGCTCTATGAAATCCTTGTGGTCATTGCCAGGTAACTAGGTAAACAATGGGCCATGTTATTGACGACTTGACTTCCAAGGCTAAATAGTATGTCTCAACCCATTTTCTTTCAAATGGCCTAATGGGTTAACAGAGTTGTTGGGTATCTGACAAACAGCAGCAATACACAATTGCCTTTCAATTGTTTTGTAACTAATTACAGAATACAGTTCATACACTTCTTCACAAGAAATTAGTAAAGCCTGTGTAACCTCTGAAGCTAAGACATAATGGTGAAATCAGCATATAAGAAATGTACTGGACAATGTCTTGGTGCCTCTGCATTAGCATTATAAAGTACATTTATTTGATCATTTACAATAGGCCAGCATATTCTAAATATTAATCAAAATAATGTTGAGAAATATTGGTGTCATCAATTGACATAAAAAAAGAGCCATAAGCCTAATATAGGCCCCCGGCCCCCTATTGTGTGCAGGACCCACTTGTACAATTTGTAACATTCATCTCCCGTCCCAATGCTTGAAAAAACAATACGTTTTTTTTTTTTAACTATCACCTAAAAATGAATTACTTGGGTTGAATTTCCGAAAAGCACCAACTACCGAGATTGATGGGGAGAGGAGGATAGGGGGACCCATGTACCCCGCTTAATTTAAGCAGGCTTCAGTCACTCACTGCAAAATTGAAGCGGGAAACAAAACCAGTGATGGCCTCCTCTTTGTCAGGCCTCTCACACCGGGCAGACAGGGGCCCTGAGATGGACAGCTCCTCCACATATGGTGCTGGATTAAGGGTGACCTCGTTGAAGAGGAGATCCAGGAGCCTGTAATTCAATTCATTGGACATAGCCTGTAATGTGTTTTAATAGGGAAATATTATAGGTAGTGAATTTGATTTTCTTTACTATACTTTACTGAGTTATGATGCTATAAATTCGCTGATGTAGTGAGCCACTTATTCTGCAATTTGTTTTCTGGTGTTTTAGAAGTACTCATTTTGAAATATGAAATATTTAGTTGTGTACTTTTTTGTACAACTTTCAATGTTAGTATTTGGAATTTTTGTGTGCCTGAAATGCTAAATTGATGCAGATTTGGAATGAAGAACTATGACTTACATTATGTTGGGTCTGTCTTCACAGGTGTCACAGCACATCCCCCTTCTTTGCCTTGGGAATGCTGATATTGTATTGCAGCATTGCTGCTGCGGTGGTTGCCTGGCTGCGGTCGGCATTCTCACTGAAATGCACGGCTGCCAGGTACAGCCTAAAACGATAAGGGTTTATTTCAAGTTTAAATGTCACATCCACATTTGTTTAGGAAAAACTATACTATTGCAGTCATTATGCATTACACGTGATGAAAAAAACGTTTTGTGGTGTGATGTAATATACAGTGCATTCGGAAAGTATTCAGACCCCTTTACCTTTTCCACATTTTGTTACGTTACAGCCTTATTCTAAAATGGATTAAATAAATACAAATCCTCATCAATCTACACACAATACCCCATAATGACAAAGCGAAAACAGGTTTAGACATTTTTGCAAATTTATAAAAAATAAATGTACATAAGTATTCAGACCCTTTGCTATGAGACTCGAAATTGAGCTCAGGTGCATCCTGTTTCCATTGACCATCCTTGAGATGTTTCTACAACTTGATTGGAGACCACCCATGGTAAATTCAATTCATTGGACATGATTTGGAAAGGCACACAACTGTCTATATAAGGTTCCACAGTTGACAGTGCATGTCAGAGCAAAAACATTTTACATTTGTACATTTTAGTCATTTAGCAGACGCTCTTATCCAGAGCGACTTAGTTAGTGAGTGCATACATTTTCATACTGGTCCCCCGTGGGAAACGAACCCACAACCCTGGCGTTGCAAGTGCCATGCTCTACCAACTGAGCTACAGGGGACCAAGTCATGAGGTCAAACGAATTGTCCGTAGAGCTCCGAGACAGGATTGTGTCGAGGCACAGATCTGGGGAAGGGTCCCAAAAGATATCTGCAGCATTGAAGGTTCCCAAGAACAAAGTGGCCTCCATCATTCTTAAATGGAAGAAGTTTGGAACCACCAAGACTCTTCCTAGAGCTGGCCGCCCGGCCAAACTGAGCAATCGGGGGAGAAGGGCCTAGGTCAGGGAGGTGACCAAGAACCCGATGGTCACTGACAGAGCTCCAGATTTCCTCTGTGGAGATGGGAGAACCTTCCAGAAGGCCATCCATCTCTGCAGCACTCCACCAATCAGGCCTTTATGGTAGTGACCAGATGGAAGCCACTCCTCAGTAAAAGGCACATGACCGCCTGCTTGGAGTTTGCCAAAAGGCACCTAAAGGACTCTCAGCCCATGAGAAACAAGATTATCTGGTCTGTTGAAACCAAGATTGAACTCTTTGGCCTGAATGCCAATCGTCACCTCTGGAAGAAACCTGGCACCATCCCAACGGTGAAGCATGGTGGTGGCAGCATCATGCTGTGAGGATTTTTTCAGCAGCAGGGACTAGTCAGGATCGAGGGGAAGAAACTGAGCAAAGTACAGAGAGATCCTTGATGAAAACCTGCT